TAACAAAACCTGTGATTTTCCGGAACTAAAAAACTGGATTTTTTCCTGATTTTAGTTTTTTATTTTTTTTTACAGGGTATTAGAAATTCTTGTTCTCTCAGTTTCTGGATAGTTCTACGGTTATTTTGTCATCCTTCTTGGTTAAACCAATAGATGCATTATTCTTCATATGTGCAAAAGTATTTCTTGTCATAGCATCTAGTAATATATATATATTTTGCTTTATCTCAATATTCACAAACTGTACATTGAGGTAAGTTTAGTTTTTTTTCTTCATGACATTGTTTACATGCTCTAGGAACAGTTCTATTGACTAGATAATATGCATTTTCAAAATATTCATCTATATATTCTTTGTATTTATTGCATTGCATTATATATTTTGATCTAGTATTCCTATGAACTGAACTGGACTGGACTTTTGCCTGAATTTGAGTTCAGTTCAAAATTTGAACTGAACTTTGGCTTGTATTCAAGAAAAGTTCAAAGTTCGAACTGAACTCAAACCAGATTTTCATTAGAGTTTGAGTATGGTTCAATGTTTGAACCAAACTCGAACTGGACTTCCATTTAAGTTCAAGTATGATTTGATATTTGAACTGAACTTGAACTGGACTTTCATTTGAGTTCAAGTAAGATTCGATATTTAAACCAAACTTCATTCAGATACAATGTTTGAATCGAACATGAACCAGAACCAGACTTTTAGGTGAGTTCATGAAAATTCACACCAAATCTTTGAATTAACTTATAATTTCTTAGTTCTATCAGTCTTTTTTAGCTAAATTCAAAATTAAGTTAGCTTTGCAGTTTCTAATAATTAATATATAGTTTAAAATTATTTATAATGTACCAAGTATAACATGCCAAAATTATAATATTTTTATTTTTCAGAAGCATAAAATATGGAAAAATATAACATAATATTTATTTTATTTATGGAACCATCTTCCAAATTGAAGTTGTACTATACCTTCCAAATTGATATCTTTTTCTTTTTCATACTATTCATTCTTGCTATCATTCCACACATTTTCAGCTTCGCTTTCTTTTTCATCATCTTTATCTGTAGTCTCACCCTTCTTACTTTCAATCACACTCTCCTCTTTATCGAACTCATCCTCTACTTCTGCTGTCTCACCCTTCACTTCTGCTGCCTCATCCTCCTCACTATTGATTACATCCTTCCCAATAGCTTTCTCACCCTCCTTATTTGTTGCCTCACCTTTCTCTTTATTAATAATCTTCTTTTTTTGTTTTTTTGCTTTTAAAAAAGATGCAAGCACTTTGGATTACTCTCTCTGAGCTGTTTTAAATAAATTTCCTTTTGCTTTTTCAATTCTTCATCTCTCTTTCACTTATTAGCTACTGTCACAGTTTTTGTTATCAGATTTTGTGACCAGACAGCTTGATAGCCAGTTGAAGGAACAACAGTGATTCCATGTTCGTTTCACTCAGAAAAGCATCACAAAGTGTTTGTATCCAATTCAATCAAAATATCATATTCTAAAAGAAAAAAATTTCCTTCTATAAATTCTTCTTCCATATATTCACCTTCTTCATTTCAAATTCCTCTTGCACACACACAGGCCCAGACATATTTCAAAAAGTTTTTGTCTGTGTGAGCATGTTTTGAATAATTGAGAGTAGCATATGCTTCACACAGACTCAGTTGGTAGAGCAAATGTATTGCTATTCCTCTATAAGTTATATCAAAACCAACTGCTCTTTTTGCTCCATATTTGTCACTATCCAGTCTGAGCAGGTCATGTTATTCAAGCAATTTAGCTATATTCTCTACTAGCTCTTTGAGAAATAAATGCATTATATAATTATATAATTATATAACAAACTTATACTAGTCACTATATGGGCTTCTCTGTTTTCGAATTCTTGGGTATTCAGTAAGATTTTTGCTATATTTCGAATATGTATAAATACTTCACAATGTCAGGTGCACAGATATCCTGCAGCCACTATATTTCCTTGTTTTAGCTTTTCAATCTCTCCTCTTTTTACTTTAGAGTGTTTTTGAAATATTAAGAGAACAGACTCAAACATGAAGTCCAAAGCCTCCTTGCTAATGCGATTTCGATAAACTGCATATATGAGATGATCTATATTTGCATCATGCACTTCAGTCTCTTCATACTTTTAAATCACATTAGGCAACAGATCCTCAGCTCTGGCTTGCTCTACATCAGAAGTAAGAGCATTATTATTCTTATATATTCATAATTTTTTTTTAAAGTAGCATTTTTAAGGTAACAGAAAGAGGACTTAAAAGCTGAATAAAAGCTTTTTCAGACTTTAGAAATACTTTTTCTGTGAGCAAATTCCTTTTGGCCTGTAGGCAAATAAATATTATTACCTAATATTTTAAAAAATTAAATCATTCTGCTATAGTTAAGATAAAAAAAGAGCTAACTTACAAAATTTCTTTTTAAATATCTGAGTTTGACTTTAGAACTTATTATTTTTTCATGCAGACTTTGGAAAGCTAGTGCTACTGCTATAGGATTTTTTATTCTAGCTTTTGCTAATTGTGCTTTCAAAAAATTTGCTGTATTATCAATTTTGTAAGTGTATTAATGTATTAAATAATTAAAATATAAGTGATACTAAATACATTTTGGTCTTCGTCATAAGAGGCTTCTGTTACTGTTTCTAAAAGCTTATGAAAGATCTCATGAGGCTCAGCGATAGTGACAGCAAAATCAGCTTTTTGCACTTTAGCCAGATAGGTTGCTAGCTTTTCGAATAAAGATTCTATATGTACATAATATGCAAGAAGTTTAGCTTTTGAATAAAGACTCTGAATAAACACAATTTGTAAGAAGTTTTAGTTTTTGAATTTTTTCTTTTAAATCTTTTGATAAACCCCTTCAGAAAATTTGAGCTGCAAGCAGCTTTATGCTCAACTTTCCTAAAGGAATACCAACAGTGCTTTATATTTAGTGAGCTTTTATCTCTATACATGCAGCAGTTCCCATTTATCGATGCAGTTTGTGTTTTAGAAAGATTCAGATGCTGCTTGCTGTACTTGTTTGGAGTCATCTTCAGTCAAAGTGAAAGCAAAATTTAACTGCTTCTGACTTTCCAGAAGGAATTCTGCAAGGCTCGCTTTAGCAAACACCCCCACCTCTCTTACATACACAACTATCGATACAGTGCAGTTTTGCTTTGCTGAGTAGTGTGGTATCTTTTTAAGTCAGAAAGAGTATCTGTTTTGCTTCATTTACTCAACTTTTAAAAAGAAATGCATTATACATATACACAACAAGCAAAAAATCCATACTTTCTAAAAACACAAACCCTAACCCAAAACAAACTCTCAACCAGTTTCACAACTCCAGAAAGCAGTTTACCTTGCTTTTTTGCTGCTGCTATTGCTGTCTCAGATGCTGCTTTTGCTGCTGCTTTGTTTCTTCTTTTTTTCAAACCAAAAGATACTGTGCTTTTGCATTGAAAAAAAACCAACAAGATAAATTTACATATACAAACAATACCTCCATTATCTCTCAAAACCCTGTAAAAAAAATAAAAGACAAAAATCAGGAAAAAATCCGGTTTTTTAGTTCCAGAAAATCACAGGTTTTGTTAACAAATTTCTGGATTAAAATCTGATAAAAAACTGCTTAAAAATGAAAAAAACAGGAAAAATAAAAAAAATATCCAAAAACTTTGGGACGCGATATCTCGCGAACCACGGAACCAATCCGAACGAAAATACCACCATTTGATTCGTCTAGTCTTGGCGAATCGAATGGTGGTATTTTCGTCCGGATTGGTTTCGTGGTTCGCGAGATATCGCGTCC